CACTTGGGACCCAGATTATGATCATCATTATGTTGTACTTGTCTCACATAACCAGATGTTCTAAAGTTCAATTCAATCAAATTATCCATTAACTATATGATTGATTTTATTTTTTGATATATTCACATATACCTATAAACTCGGTTTATTTAACTTAAAGTTATGATAAAGCTGATACTAATTAGGTTTGTCTGTTGTGAGATTAAAATAATTATGTGATAAATGTGTAAGATGTCAGTAAACCAAAGGTGATATTTGAAGGTAGATATACTATCTTAATATTAATCCTCAAATATCTGTCAAAAGATATTGTAATCGAATTGATTTAATTAATAATATTTTACAACCGATATGTCACACCCCTACCAACGACGGAAACATCACAGTCAACAACATATATTGAAATAATACCAAGATTTACAGAACACTACATTATTCTAGAATTTGAATGCGACGAAATACATTGTATAGTAAATTCAGAAGCGATAAACGCGGAATACAACTTTTTGTAAGATAATAACAGAAGCGAAGGCTACAAAAGAGCCGACTATTTATTTCCAAAGTCAGTCATTCATTCTCATTTTTGGTGAGAGTTCTTCTGGTCACTTTGAACACCTAGAGATACATACATTATAAAAATACGTCAACAATAATATTGGTGAATTTTATAGGTTTTATTTTGACTCCTATCATTTTAGTAATTCAAAAATGATTTTTTTCGACAACTGGTAATTAATAATGCATAATCTTATAAATCGTGTAATTTTAACAAGTATTTGATATTCTCGTGACCGCTGTATTGCTAAAACATATACGATTACGGATAATTATGCCATAGCGAGATGTGGTTATCGACACGAACAATTTTAAACATTCGACCTAAATTTTGGGAGGATTAACTTACCCTAGACCTATACTTCTCTAGAATACAAATCTTCATTCTAACAATTAGCCTATAACCGACACTATAGACGTTCCTAAATCAACACATGCACAACAAAAAGGAGGAATCGGGATCATTACTAACGTTTCAAATTGCCGTATAGTAACAAAGAAAGAAACACTTGACAACTGTTGCCTCGTCAGACGAAGTTGTAGCTAGCAACCATAGACGAAAAATAGCGGTTCGTATAAATCTTTCAATAAGAAATAGATCTACACCAAAATTCTTTATTATAAATCTATGCGGTGTACATAGACCTACAATGTAAGACCCCTCATGGATTAACAATTATAGTGGTAGGCTTCGATTCTAGGATTTAGTTCCTAATGAAAGAAAAACACCCCATTACAAAACTCCATCTTTCACCCATTTCATAAAATCCTCACACAAACACACACAAGATACAAATCCATAAATTCCATGACAACAATTCATCGGCCCACAAATCCGTCACTTACTAGGGTCACTAATGTGAATCTTAGGTTATTAATATTTTTAAGGCTTAGTGAAATTTGTTAAATAATGAATTTAACTTAGCGTTTGAATAATGTTGCGATAATAACTTGAGTAGTTTCTTACATAAACCAATAGGGAGGGCGTTCCGTTCGCGTAGTCGAATAACTCATATGTTGGTATTGCGTCAGTTGACCGTTTGTCACCTTAACCCATCATTATTGTATTTTTAACTTTTACTTATTGTTGAAATTATATTGTTTTTGTTCATAAGTAAACTTAGTCTAAAAAATACATACACATTATTTATCGATGAAATTTCGTATTATACTATAATATATATATATATATATATATATATATATATATATATATATATATATATATATATATATATATATATATATATATACTTGTGGGTTATTTTCATACTCTAGATACGAGTTTATAGTTTATTTGTATATTTATATTTTATAATTTAATTCAAATCTTTCATATTAAGCGTGTATGAGAACTAAGCTTACTAACCTAATATATCCAAGTCATGTGATTATACATATCGTGTCAATGATATTGACAAGATATTGGTAATCAAAATTACGACATAAGTTTTTAACGATATTTTTATTCATCCCTACAAATCGTATAACATTACTTTCATTAACTTATTCTTTTCCAACATTTTATTTTCGCAAGTACCTATAAAGCTGTCTAATAGTTTCTAAAAACTCTTTTGTTTATCAAATACTAATTACAATATTTTTAACAAACTTTAGTGGTCAAAATATTTATTTGTAACATATATAACTATTACTAGTTGTAGTATGTATCATGAACTTTGCATGCATGTAAAATATAAATCTTTTGGCCATCAACTTATTTCACAATACTTAAGTATGTATCTTCCCCCAAAACAATTTGTAACGTCCTAAAAATATGATCCAAAAATTTCATTTTTAATTTAATAAAATAGTATTCCAAAACATTATCCTTACAAACCAAATGAAAATAAGTGTATCAAACATCATATCAATTAGAGTAATATCTATAAAGCAGAATTCATATGGTGTGTACGATGCAGTCATCCCGAGCTCTTCCTCTTGGAACCGGAAGTACCTGAAACGTAAATTGAAATTATTAAGCACAAAGCTTAGTGACTTCCCCACAATACCACCTACCAAACATAAAACACATAACAGACCCCGTCCAAAGAGTATAACGGGCCCCACCCTAACTCGCATAACGGGTCCCGCCCAATGAGTATAACGGGCCCTGACCTAGCTCGCATAACGGTCCCCGCCCATAGTTCATATCTAATAACATATAATAGCATATATGATAATCATCAGACCACACCCAGTAACACACAAGCACATACACATACTAGTGTTACACAAATAACGATTAATCTAACAGAACAAATCATGGGTCGACATTGATGCCTTTAACCCGAGCTAAACAATACCAACATAACACCCAATCAACATTTGGGTTCCAAACCATAACCATAAATCCATACTTTTGGTAAAAAGACCATTTTACCCCTAACCTAGCTTGGTCCAAGACTAAGGCCCAATTATGGCCCAATTTTCAAAATTGCACCGAACTCCCTATATGGGCCATACCTTAAGGGCCACTAATTTTCCCTACTCCAAACTCTTATTTTCAGGTGGCCCAACAAGGCCACAAGCCACTAAGCCCAAAGAAATGCCCAAATCCGAAGCCCAACTATACGAAGCCCACGTTACTGAGTATGCGGAGCATACTCAACACGTACGTGCAACATACTCGCTTGAGGGCTTGTACGCTAAGCGTACCTACTTGTACGCCCAACATACTCACCATTCGGCCAAAACTTCATTTCAGTCCTTAATCCTTTAAGACATAGCCCCAAAACATAGATTTGAATTCCTTAAGGTAGCAAACCACGTAAACTTGCCAACTTTACATTCATGCATGTATAAATGAAGCTCTTAAGCAAAAAAGGGACTTAATAAATGGCTTAATGCATGCATGTGACAAATTAACTCATAAAGCTTGCACCTTTATGCTTAAGAAGTCCAAAACAAACTTATATCTGGAATAACAAGCCTTTAAAACGATTTCACTCTCATATCAACCCAAAAAGGGACCAAAAGCATAACAAAGCACAAAATGAAGAGATCTAGACATCTACAAGTCAAGGTTAAAACTTGATACCTTAGAAAGCTTGCACAAGAGGAGATGATTCTTTATCCAAGGCCTTTCCACCAAGCAAGACAAGGTCAAGATTCATCACTCCTTCACAAAGACCAAAAATGAGCACCCAGAACTTCTATTAGCTCAAGAACACCACCAAGAGACTTAGGGATCGAATTTAGGGTTTTATGGAAATGGAGGCTGGTAAGGAGGCCAGCCATAACGACTTAATGCCTTTATATAGGGTTCAACACCATAAATTAGGGTTTCATCATCTCGCATGTACGCCCCGTGTACAAAGATGTCTGCCCCGCATACGTGCCTGGAGTCCCAATCTCGCCTCACTTAAGTACGCTAAGCGTACCATGTGGTACGCCCTGTGTACTCGTTTTACAACTTGTACGCTAAGTGTACCATGTGGTACACCCCGCGTACAACTCAAGGACAAAAATGAAATAAAGCAACAATAAGGGCCAAGAAGAAACTTACCATGATTCACGTGTTACAATTCTCCCTCATGAATCAGATTTTTTCCTCGAAGTCCATTACCCCAAATAATTCCGGATAATACTCTCTCATCTCATTGTTGGGCTCCGAAGTCCACTTTGATCCCTTGTGGTGCTGCCACTGCACCTTCATTAGCTTGACAACCTTGTTCCTTAAGGTTTTCGTCTTCCAATCCATAATCGCCACGTGATTCTCAATATAATTCAGGCGGTCATCCACTTGAATATCCTCCAATGGTACCACCGTAGAATCATCCACTAAACACTTCCGTAGCGAGAGGTGTGGAATGTGCTATGAATCTGACTGAGATTGGCTGGAAGATCTAAACGATACACAACTTGGCCCACCCGAGCCAAAACCCTAAACGGACCAATATACCTGGGGCCCAACTTGTCCTGCTTTCTAAACCGGATAACACCTTTCCAAGGTGACACCTTCAACAAAACCATATCTCCCACCATAAACTCTACGTCTGATTGGCGCCTATTGGCATAACTCTTCTGCCGACTCTAGTTTGTCCAGAAGCCTGCTCCGAACCTACTGAATCAGTTTAGTGGTCTTGAGTACAATCTCAGTACTCCCCATAACCCGTTGATCCACCTCGCCCCAACAAATCGGGGTCCTTCATTTCCTCCCGTAGAGCATCTCAAACGGAGGTTGATCAATGTTAGCGTGATAACTGTTGTTATATGAAAATTTCGCTAACCAAGCTGATGAAGAAGAAGACTCTAGTGACGAAGAAGATGATTTTGCTCAGGGAATGAAATCTCCTCCAAGAGTAAACAAGCATATTTGTTTTCATCTACTTCTTCATCCAATCCGTCTACTGATGATGTTGTGCAACTTGGATCAACTCCTCCTCTAGTGGTAACTGCTGAGCCATTGATCAACTTCACCTCAAGCTGAGAATGTTCCTCCTATGCCAACACCTATTCAGACTGCTATTGTTTATCAGGGGGAATCAAGCTCTAATTTTGAAAAAGCTATGATCTCCCAACTTTCTTTACAAGTGAAAATAACTCAATCTCGGGGAGAAAGATTGTCTAAGGTTGAACAGGATGTGGTTGATATAAAGAGATTTATGGCTTTGGGTGGTGATGATGATGACATGATTATTAGTGACACCCCACCAAACTCTCCAAATGATAATCCTCTTCCACCTCCACGCCCATTATCACCATCTCATCCTCCTCGTCGTACTCCTTTACCAACTCCAAACTCTCCTCCCCAATATGATGCTGCCAAAAAAGGGGAGAATAATCAAGAGACTTTTGATCAGCAAATGCAAATGGTGGTTATCGCATCAAATCCATCTCAGCCTGATATGTTTGAAGTTGGAAGGGTTGAAACTGATTATCAAAAATAAATTGTTGTTATAGACGTTGATGCAATCATCAGGGTTAGATGCACCAAAAAAAGATTGAGTCCCTAAAGCTGCACTTGGTTAGAAGGAAGATTGAGAATGAATATATTAAGGTTGTATTCGCTTGTGAGCTAGTCAAATTTGGATATAGAGAGTGAATACAAATTCATGAACTTATCGACAAACATAAAGGTGTTCATGCTCAAGAAGTGAAGTTAGCAATTCATCAGCTACTCAATAAAGTCAGGAAGTTGAATCTTGTGCCACCAGCTACTCCTTCTAGACCATTCACCTCAGGGAGAACAGGCACTCCTAGACAGTCCAAGAATACTAAATTTCTCCTTCCATATGGAACTCGCTACATCAACAATGAAATTACAGCGGGTGTTGAACCAATTTAGTACGTGTTCATTCGACAATCGGAGCATGGCATTTTCTATCTTGATAGTCAAAATCAAATTTGCTTTCAACGTACTTATGATCTACCTGTTGTTCCCGCTGAATGGAAGGACTCAGTCATTTTGAAATGGAAAGAGGATATTGTATGCTGATCTCCCTGGAGCTTAGTAAAAGATTGAAGGAACTTAAAATTAATGAATTCGTATGGGTTAAGCCTGAGATCTTAAAAGAAGATGATAAGTTATACAGTGGTTCAGATGAATCTGAAGAAGAAGATTAGTTTTGACATCATCAGATTGGGGGAGATTGTGAGGTCACACCTTATGACCTGATGAGTCAAGCACTTTATATGCTAAATACCAACGCCAGCGTTTAGATCAGCATTAGCATAGCAAGTGTATCAGTGTTAGTGTGTAGCCATATTATCTTATGTAATCTTTTGTATATTAGGTGATGATACAAATAAGAATAGAGTACATAGCAAATATGATATGTTATGAAGATCGGTTCTTATGTTAGAATATATATAATCCCTTGAATCAAGGGATATACTTGTATATATTAGTATATATATATTCTATAATAGGGTGAAACCCTAATGTGTGTCTCGTAGAACGTCTTGTAAACGTTTTTGTGACAACCCGTTTTCTTGGTGAAAACAAACGTCTTTCTTGGTGAAAGACAATTTGGTGAATTCCTTGTGTTCTTTACTTTTTATGTTGTATATTTTTTTAGTAATTTTGTTCTTGTTTCTTATACTTGAAGTGTATCTGATCATCAAAAACCTTCATCTACCACACTCTTTAACCCAGATGAAACCTTAATTCCTTTTCATCTATTGTTGAAGCTTTCTTTAGTGCTTTTGAGAGATTTTCAAGGAAGAAGCATGAATGATTAAGCCAAGGATCAGCAAGAAAGTCCCCATCTCCCTTCCTAACTCGATTTTGGACCCTTGTAAGTGTTCAAGGCTCCACTGTTTTGATTATAGGTTGCTAGGTCTTGAATTTGTCCCATTTTCTTCTTGATCTTGTTAGCTGGGATGGTGAGATTTCATAAAGGTTACAACTTTATGAATCTTTGGATCATTTGGAGTAGTTCATTGTTTAGATTTAAAGTTTGGTACGTTGATTTAGCCATGTATAAGATTTTGGTCATAAACCCCATTTTGACCTAATTTGAGTCAAAACTTTAAGTTGGTTTTGGTGTTATAAGCTCTTCTGGACCAAACGGAGTTGAGACTTAAGGGATTAAGTGATTCTTAGTTAAGCCCATGTCATGGTTGTGCCTCATGAACCTAAGACTTATGATCTATACCTCTTGGTGAGTCTCAAGTGATAAAGTTGGAAACTTTATTCATTTAGACAACAAAAATGATCAAATCTGGTCTTTAGAACCTTTGGAATTGGAGGATTCGACTTAACCCATTAAGATGCTTTGAACCTAGTGCCCACATCGTGGCCTATGTTGCCACAGCGTGGTGACTGGGTAAAATGCGTCTATTTTGTCGTTTGAGGGCCACGATGTGGCTAAGGATGACCACAAAGTGGAGAGTAAACTTTGACAATTGACTTTGACTTTGACTTGCATTGACTTTTGGTCAAACCCGTAGTCTTGGAAGGAAATCTAAGGGTGTACTTTGTATGGTTGTATAGGTGGTCTCCTCATTATACTTGTGGGTCGAAGGCACCAACGCCGCCCGACTGGATTATGTAGTAGGATAGTTGTGGTCTTTATGAGACTTACTGATATGCATGTAGGTGCTTGTTTTCTTTTTTACTCTTGCTAGTATAAATGTATGCTTAGCTATAGGGGTGAAAAGACCCATACCGGTTGAAAGATAACAAAGGATCCGAAGGGACTTAGAGATTTGGAAGAGACTCACCGAGTCGAAAGGGACTCAGGGGTGAAATAAACTCGTTACATGATTTAGTATGATATGTATGGATGATGTGTATGTATGGTATGTGGTATTTGGGGGAACTCCCTAAGCTTTGTGCTTAAGAATTATATTTAAATGTTGTTCAAGTACTTCCGGTTCTAAAGGGAATGGCCCGACATGATCGCATCGCATCCATCTGTGTTTGACAATTTATAATATGGGATTGTAATTTGATAATGGTTTTTCTACGGTGACATACTTGATGGTTTGGTTGATTTTAAACAGAATTTTTACTTAATATTTTTGGGATGTTACAAGTTCATATTAAAAAAAATAAATGTTAATGGCTCTCATCTAGTAAAGCAATGCGATTTTAGACTCAAGAAATCACAAATAAGAAGGGATCAATAAGAAATCGTTTGGAGAAGTGGATGTGATGGATTTTGGAGTTTCGATTGAAATCGATTATTATTGATGGTTTTTATGAGCCTTGAAAATAGGAAATAAATAACTCACAACACGCTAGGTAATCGTAATCTCGCTTCCGAATCCTTTTTGGCATATGATAAGGACTATTGTCCAATAAATTCAGCTTAAAAACAGTGGGTTCTCGCAATATAATCCAACATAAAAAGAGAAAACAGGGGGCCCTTTGGCATTTGGGAACCCGGGGCACTCGCCTAGCTTGCCTTGGTCTATGGACCGACCCGAGTTATCTAGGATCATCTTCGACCATATATTTTTTTACATCAGAACGTACATTCCAATAAACCATCTTTCAACTTACTATCTTCTTGCTTATTTATATTATATGTTTGTATAAAATTTTATAAAATACTTTATTATAAAAACGACAACAATATTAACTACTTTTGTATTATTAATTCAAATTAGATGTAGTTTTATTAAAATGGGATGTCTTAAATAATAAAAGTATATTTACGAAATTTTTTTGTATAGTTATATTTAATTAATGTGAATTGAATATGCAACATAATTAAAGCTGTAAACGTACCGAACGTTCAATGAATTGTTTGGTGGGAAGTTCATTTGTATTCGTTTATTTATTAAATGAATGAATATGAACACAAATTCCTATTCGATTAGTTAAAGATCGAACATAAACAATGGTCTCTTTGTTTATTTATGTACGCGAACGTTCATTTATGTTCGTCCATTTAATTTAGTTTGTATTTATATATGCGTAATTGTTTTTTATTACATTAATATATCATATGTTTGTTATGTTCATAAATGTTTAATTGTGTTTTTTTTTAATCTTCATTTGTTTATGTTCGTTTAGCATATTTACGAACATAAACAAACGAACATGAACAAAGTAATTTGCTAAGTGACCGAACATTAAAAAAAAAACCGGTTCGTTTATATGTTCATGTTCGTTTGTTTGTTCGACTAATTTAAGCGAATAAACATAAACAACCATTTTTCGTGTTCGTTCGTTTGTATACAACCCTAAACATAACATTATAATGAATAGTTTTATATTTAGGATATATATATATATATATATATATATATATATATATATATATATATATATATATATATATATATATATATATATATATATATATATATATATATGGTAAAGGTTCAAATAAGAATAAAAAAAGATTAAGAACCGTACGAACCATTAAATCAAATCTATCTTTCCAAATGATAAATTCTTTCAAACTCTCCCACCTTTTTTGAACAACACTCATTCCTTATTACCACCACCATCTACCAACGCCGGCACAACCGTAGCCGGCCGCTTAAGCTTCGCCGGAATGTCAAGTCAATCATGTTTTTTTTCTCTTCAGATCTGGAACCAAAACAAAAAACAACATTATCGAGGTGTTTCAGCTTCAGATCTACCGTCCACCGCCTGTCATCTCCGACGACATAATTCTGGTGACTCTTTTTTTTTTTTTTTTGAGTTTTTTGTTCAGATCTAACCAGATCTGAATGATTCTAGTGATTTTTTCTCATCTCTGATTGTGTTCCTAGTCTAGATCTTTCGAGATGTTGTCAGATCTAGAACCTCCACTTACTGATCTACCATCAGTTCTGCCTCCACCTTCAGATCTAATACTTTTTGTCACCGGAACACTAGATATTCCTTATCATTGTCTAGATCTGCAAGCTCTGGTCTAGAGTTATGATTTCTACCACCACCGATGTCCAGATCTGTGAGGTCCGACAATATTGAAAGAGTTTAAACGAGATCTTGTGACATGTTCTTCATGTTGCACATTTGTTTTTTTGTTCTTCATCTCAGACCTAAGAAATTTGGTTGTTTTTTTCCTCAGAAGATATGGATCTGTTCTTTCCGTTAAAATCACTACCGTCAAACCTCTCCGGAGAAACAAAAACATCACCTGACTTCAGAGATGATGAAAATCTGATATATTTGGTCAGCTCTAATGTTTTATGGTGATTATGGATAAGAGAGATACAAAGTGTTTGATGAAATGCCTCAATGAATTGTGGTAAGTCAAGTCATTAAGATGTGAAATGTGTTTTCTATGTATTAATTTGTCTAAGTTATTAAAGCTTAGGATGTGTATTTTTTTTTGATGTATTAAGTGTTGAATTAATGTCTAAAATGTTGAATTAAGTTGTGAATTAGTGTTTGAAATGTTGTATTAAACTATGAATTCGGATTTTTTTTTATCCAGATCTGATTTTAAAGGGAAGGATATTGGCGATGTTAGGACTGATGGTTGATGGTGGTGCTTGTTGATAGCTGCGTACGATAGTTGGCTGTGTTGATACTGGTGGTGGTGGTAGAGTAAGCATCTTCTTTGTCGATTTCAGATAAGTTATTATGTTTTATGATTAATGTATTTTTTTATGTTTGCTTCTGAAATATGATATAATTTATTTATGTATTAAACTGTGAATGAGTTTTTTAATACCTTCAAATATGATATTATACTTGTAAATGACTTGTGAATGTATTGTATAAAATTGTGAATTTTGTGTATTACGTTGTAAATTTTATTTACGACATAATATATTAAATTTTAAATTTAATATATAGAAATGTCTACATGTATTAACGTATAAATATAAGTTTTAATTTTAAAATATGGTTGTAAATATAAAAAAAAAATTGTCTTAAATTGTGAATTTATTATATTAAGCTCTGAATTTGTATACTAAACTGTGAATTGTTTATTATGTTGTGAATTTTATTAACGACTTAATATATTAAATTCACAATTTAATACATAGAAATGCCTCCATATATTAATATATAAATATAAGTTTTAATTTGAAAATATGGTTGTTAATATAACTTTTTTTTTTGTTTTAAATTGTGAATTTATTATATTAAGCTGTGAATTTTATATAATAAACTGTACATTATTTGTATTAAGGGTTTCAACTTGATATTATGGTTGTGAATTTATATTTTTTGTATTAAATTGTAAATTTATTGTAATGGCTGTGAAATTTATGTATTAAGCTGTGATTTTTCTATTTTAAACTTTGAATTAACTACATTAAGCTGTGAATATTTATTTAAATTGTGAAATTGGCTATATTAAACTGTGAACTTTTTGTATTACATTGTGATTTTTGTGTTTAAAAATATGAATTGACTGCATTAAACTATGAATTTTCCGTTTAAACTGTAGATTAACTACATTTTGCTGTGCATTTTTTATAATTTGTGTTAAAATATAAATGATTTATTTATAAATTTTTGTGTTAATTTTCTTATGAATATATTTATTTTTTTTGTTATATAAATTTGTAAGAATCCACTAGTTTTTATAATTGTTTTGCATCAAATTCAAAACGAGTGAATTAATAGGCTTAATTAGACTGTGGATGTAGTATTTAAGTTGTTGATGCATGACTTTCTTTACAGATCTAATTTGGAAGAAATGACGGCTACTATGTTGATACAGGTGGTTGGTAGCAGCATGTGGTGGTAGAGTTCGAGTTTTTGACTTCTTTGAATTTGTAAATTAATGTAAAACAGTTTGTATTAAGTTGTGACTTTTTTGTATTAAACTATAAATTGACTGTGTAAAGTTGTATTTTATATAAGTTTTGTGTTAAAGTATGTGAGCATATACGAATGAAAATACTAGATTGTAAAAATTATAACTTTGCCATTTTCGTCCAAAAACACAAAAAATTAGGATTTTAACATGTTTAATAAGAATATCTTGTAAATATTTACTAATTAATTGGGGTTCTTAGGGTTCAAAATCTTTGATGGTTCTCATTTGAACCACTCCCTATATATATATATATATATATATATATATATATATATATATATATATATATATATATATATATATATATATATATATATATATATATATATATATATATATATATATATATATATATATATATATATCGTTACCCTTTACTATTTGGGGTTGCTTTCCTATTTCTAATCTCCATATGTGGTTAGGAGTCGATGGACTCAGGTAAGGTCCTATAATCGCCTTCTCTATAGCTCTCTGTTTGTACTTTTAAAGATGTATATGTGGTATGTACATAAGGTGTTCTATGAAATGTTTTTCTATTTATTTATGACCGGTTATTGCTTTTGTTTTGATTTATTTACCCTAACCGTTTGTCGACGTCGCTTCATTTGTTGGCGATTTCCCCTAAACCAAGAAAACCGACAAGCCAAGAGTGTCGATTCATGATGTGCGTCTGACTGAAGATCCAATACCAGGTATTTGTCCTTCACTATAATCGATTGGGGGCTTCTTTCGTTTAGTAGACGAGTTTGAGACGGAATCAGTAAGAAGGAAGAATGCATATTGACGCTGCTGTCGGTGGTGGTACGACGATATCGATTCCTGATAGCGGTGGCTGGAGGAGATGTGACGGTTGAAATTTCCTCATGGAATTTCCACTCTTAACTTATGTTTTCTGTCAGGAATTTACGTCTTCCACTATATAACTCTTAAAGTAAGAACATTTATATGTTACCCGGTTTGATATATATAGGTGTATGCATATAAGATTTGGTTCTTAAGGAAGAAAACTAGATTATGACTTGAACTGATGCGGTTATTTCATGTAGATGGCACTGGTGGTTACTAGATTGGTAAACTTTACAAACCTGGTAATAAATCCTTACTTCTCTTTCACTTTCTCTTCATAATTTAGTCTTTCTTAAATTCTTTTTAATATATCACTTATGTTCATGAATATGTGGTAGCTTTGAAATAACAAATTAGAATGCATTCGTTGATATTGAAGAATGATATTTATTCTATGATTTCAAATCTTTTACATCTATCTTGATTGTTCATACATACACATCATAGGTTGTGGGATTCAAATTTTGAAATCTTAATTCCTTATCTCTGTTTTCGTTTAAAACAATTTTCTTGACATTGTCCTTGATATTGCTGATTGATCCACTCAAACTTTGTTAATGGTTCTGTTGCAGCTTCTAAGAATGATGATTGGAGTGACCATCTCAGTCAGAAAGGGTGTTATTTCAAGGTGTCATTCAATTTGAAAAACTCTATACACCAACTCCTCATATAGGTCGTGTCCATAGTAGATATGTTATTGTATGCATAATTTATTTTTATAAAAGTACAATAAAAATATATGCTAATTTTTTTTGGAAGGATTCAAATGACTGAAGGAATCACGAATTCCATTCCATGGAAATGCATCAGTCGGAAAGTGTGCAAAAGATGAAGAGCAAAAAGCAAATGATATTATACAAATTGCTTGGTCTTATATTTAAAAGGAAAATGTTTTGCCACAAAATCGTTCGTTTGGTAAGTCTATTTTCTTTTATTTTAATAGATTTACTTTGATATTCTAAAACATGGGACTTAAAAGAGGAAAAAAGATGGATTCATATTTCATCATGTACATGATTTTGCATATTCATTAAATTATCTAAAATACCCAATATATTAAAACATTTTGAGTAAAAAAAATCGTTTTAAAATTAGAAAAATCTAAAGATGTCAAAATCAATACACAACATAAGTTATAGCATAAAAACGTTACAGTCCTCACCACTATTGCTAGGTCTTCTCTTTAATCACTTAGCATGTTATTCAAGTTCCAACAACCTTAACACCGCTACTTGTTATGCATATAAATTGAGTGGTTCGGGTTGGGAAACCTGGTGAGATGAATAGGATTTTCAATCCTACAATGTTATTATGATAATATTCCATAATCAATAAACCTGAAAAACCAATTGTTACAAAACAATATAGACATATAATCAAATGAAGATGTCTATAAGGAAATGTACCCATACATACCCCGCCCAGTTGATTATCACGAATCCTAATCAACGATCATATGGAAGAATTGCCTTGCCTGATGAATCATTTAAACAACTGTCTGACTATACAGCTAGGGGATTCCTTGGCCAGTATAAGTCATAAAAGGTCACCATGAGGAAGATGGGGTACAACGAATGAATACACAATCCTTTCTCCTGGATAGTATGATTCATTAACACCTATAGGTAATGAGCCTGCTAGTGTTCTATCAGATTGTCTAGAATGGTCCGTGGTCGTCATCTTACTCCGGTAGATGACTTGTACGGAACCCGCACCTAGGCTCGAGATAGTGTCACAAAAACATAAATCTCATTTCCATTCCAATCTCACACACACCCTATAATTAATACTATCCAATATCTAATTTATCAAATAACCCTATTATGTAACCCGTACCCCAACATGTGATAATGCCATAAAACAGAGCTGTACTCTCCCTTCCAATCTCGCAAACATCGCTTTTATGCTTATTAACCATTTATTCAACTTATTTTGAATTCAATGTCCCTTTTAAGTCTTAGTTTATAACTAGACCAAACTATAATATAAATAGTCGACTCTCAATATGAATTTATGCAAATGCAATCATTACGACATAGGGTATAACTAAGCACTTATTCAACTTACTTCAAATTAAGGATCATTTATAAGTCTTAATTTATCACTAGACAAGACTATGATGCATGTAATTAACATCCAAAACCTTTACCCAAGTTTTATGAAATACTTTCCATCCACAAATATTTATATTCATCACAAAATTCTACCGATAAGCATTTGCTATATCTTAAATCTTTTTAAGTAATAATACTTATGATAAGATTGTCACGTTATATAACTAAGAATACTTTTAGAACTTATACAATTGTATCTAGATCGCACAAAGTGATATGTAGTATTATTCCAAATAATAGACATTTAATTTACATACAAATTATACTATCAACATAGAATACAAATAACAAACGTTCAACATATATTTAATCCTTTAAGTATCCAATACTTATATTAAATCGTGCTCATGAAAGTAAGTATCCACTCACCTGACTGAGGTGAAAGATCCATGGTTAGTTTAACTCCTCATCTAACACTTCAACTTTTCTCTGATTTTTCAATAATCCCAAGAAATACAAAGTTCTATCAAATAAGGAATAACCAGGTAAGTGATGGGTATTATTCAAAACATGTAATCCTATGTATGCATGCAACCCTAAAAAATTTTGATCTATGTTATCTCTAATTGAACATACAACTTGAACAACAAAATAGAAAACACTAGCATACTAGTATATAATCTAAATACACAATTAGGGTTAGAAGATTCATACCTTGATTGTTATATAGTAATAAGAATACAAATCCTTGTGTTGTTGAAACCTTGAGAGAAAGCGTCACAATGTCACGCCTCTAGTGGTTCACACCCAACACTAGCAAAGGAGAATGATTGAGAAGGAGGAGAGAGACTCAAACTTTCGGCTAGGTCTTCCAAGGAACAAGTAGCCAAAAATTGTAGGGTTTAGGTTGTTTATATAGTGCAGTCAAGAAACCCTAGATAAGCCCTAATCCAAGATTATCTTAAACCAGACAGTTATCCACTTTCTTGTTTATCTACCAAAGACCATTCTAGAAACCCTTAGGCCATAAGAAAACCGTCCAAGGCCTATGGAGGGTTCTAGATTGCCTCTTGCTCAACATGAACAATTGCACTTCAGTCCCTACACTTTTAATTAATTATTTTAATCCCAAAATTAATTATAATTAATTTTTGATTAAATATTAATTAAATATTGTTATTTCTAATTAATATATTATCTTCATAATATATTAATAAATTATTTATTTCAATTTATTAATCAAATAGTAAATCAACCTATTTCTTCAAAATCATCATGTCTAGTTGCAAGTCTTGAGGGAAACCCAAAAGGATTGTGGTACTATCAATTTAAGTATATACCAATTATAGTTATAGTCTTAGACACCTAATCAACCAATCTCCCACTTAGATAAGTCAAAATAACTATAGTTGTGAGTATCACTTCAAAACCGATTAGCAAATTGTTGCTCTTAAAAGCCGTTTGTGAATTTTGGCCTAGTCAGTTACATGTCCTAAGATAAGTGATCATATAATCCTCGTTCTGCAAGATATCATGTAGACATGAGAAATGGAACATAATCAATCTCATTGTCCAATAATTTGTTTCCCGATTCCTTATTTGTAATAACAAAGGACTACTAACTAAACAAAACAATTTAGTCCTGGCCTGGCTCAACACTATAATCAACACCAAATCATCAAGGGGTCCAAAGATATCGGTTTTTCTCCTTATGGATGCAAAGGAACATATAAACTTTGACTTATATGCTTGTACTATTTACTCATCAAATTATGCACAACAATACAATTTATAACATCAAATTACTAATGCGTTTACACATCCTCAATGCACAACCAACTCGTAAACAACAACTCATATATCTTCGCTTAAAGATTATAAGATATTATCGTCTCATAATTAATTATGGTAACTTCCATGAAGTAATTATCTGATTGGGGGTTAATCAAATACTTAATTTCTCTATTTCAAAGTACTCACGAATATTGCAGCAATACCATTGCTACGTCTAAAACCCCTTTAGACAATCTACAATTCAATTCATGATAGTCTTGATTCACTACTTACTTCCAAAAGTATGATCGACGGTGGATGTTTGAACAATTCAATTATTCGGGAAGTAAAAAACGCAAAATGAAATAAAAAATAAATAATAGACAAAAGGTAGTAATTCAACTCATAAATAAATCTCCATTACTTAATCACCAAAAAGCAATTACATTAATTTGTTACAAGTTTCTAAATATGTATCTAACTACTAAAAATAATATCATCCTTCAGAGTAATGCTCCTAGCATATTGAATGTTCTTGGCCCTACTCAGACCCTTTGTAAGGGGATCTATTGGATTCTCTTTTGATGACACCCTCTTCACGACTAGATGACCTTCTTCTACTCTATATCTGATGAAATGGTATTTTCTATCGATATGCCTCGATCTGCCATGATCTCATGGTTCCTTTGTTAAGACAATTGCCCCTTCATTATCACAGAAAATCTCCATTGGTTCATTGATAGATGGAACAATTCCAAGATCTCC